TCGGATAGCCTATGCCCTTTTGTAGCACTTTCTCCCCTTTAAGTTTACCCAAGTTCACTTAAATTTAGCTTTAAAAATATGCCCAGAGGACGGGAGCAGAAGCCCACTGCAACGTGCCTTACAGACCCACTTTGCGGACAAGGCCTGAGGCTCTTGGGTCGGTAATACTGCCCTGACTCCTTTAATGCTTCCTACCAACTGTTGTATGTCCACAGCCTCGTTTATTCTACACAGTGACTCCATTTTAGAGACTCACAGGCTAAGGGTTGTACATCTTATGCAATGTCACACAGCTAGAGGGTGTTTGTGGCATAATAGGAAATCTATTCGGTCTTTGTCCCCTATTCCTGGGGCAGCGCTCTGAAAACCCTTGGACTTTCCTGAGTAACAGGGGTGCCTTTTGTTATTCATATGGCGCTCCTTCTGAGCACACCTGAGTTTATGCTCATGAGGTGACCCAGGTGGGGCCCCTAGCTCGCCTCAGGATGGGGCCTTCAGGATGGGGAACTTTCCACCCTACTCATGGAACCCTCACTAGGACAGTGGGGACTGCAGGTAGGGCTCCATAAAAACTTTTGAACAAGGAGATGGGCTTCGTGGTGGGTGATTGTGGAGAGGTGCTGGGAGGGTGACACAGAGGAGAGATCACGGGAGCTCCACGCCCCTTCCCACAAACCCTGGGCATGTCTCCCCTCTGAGTGGGTATGCCTGAGTCACCTCCTTTATAACAAACCAGTAATAGCAAGTAAACTGTGTTCCCTGAGTTCTGTGAGCTGTTTTAGCAAATCATCAGACCTGAGGAGGCAGATTCCCCCAGCGTTAGAGCCAGTGGGTCAGAAGGACAGGTAACAACCTAGCACTTGCAAAGGGTATCAGAAGGAGGGGGACAGTCTTGTGGGACTGAGCCCTTCACCCGTGGGGTCTGTGCTAACCCCAGGCAGAGAGTGTCAGAATTTAATTGAATCAGCAGACACCCAGGTGATGAGAGAGAACAGGTTGTTGTAGGGGGAAAAAAGCCCACATTTGGTGTCGAAGTGTTCTGTTCAATCAGTATTGAACCGGGACTGGAACTCAGACCCGGCTGATTCAAACACTGTGTAATCAGCGGGTTGTATAAACTACTGGATGTGGCTTTGTTACTTTCAAAGTCCTCTTGGCTTCCCAGCCTGTCTCTAAGCACTATGACCATGCGGTTTCATCCCGGCATCCCAAGCCATGTCTACAGTTTGACTTCCTGCCTCTTGGCTCCCACGCTCCCAGCAGGCTGCATTCAGAGTCCTCCAGTGACTAGAGGCCTTCCCAGACTGTCACGCAGGAACCAGGAAATCAACTAAAAGATGCCACTTTTTTTCAGTTCTCAGTCCTATCTTCTCTGAGGTGTGACACACAGCGCTGACGCCTAGAGCCCCCGGTACCGGATGCAGTGGCGATCACAAGTAGTCCCTCTATTCCCTCGGCTCATTAGCAAACAGCAGGAGAGGTCTCCCCATTTCCTGAAAATACCAACGTCCCTCCCCTTACCCTGGTAAGTCCTCATTACAGTGCCTGCAGTTAAAAAAAAAAAAAAAAAAAAGCAAACATATAAAGAACAGATTTTTCATCCATACAGCGTCCTTCGATATATCTTAGCAAATTGCATTGCACGGGTGTTTCCAGGAGAATCTGTTTAAATTCTAAACACATTTTCTCTTGGCACTTGAAACCAGGTTCCAGACAGCGGAAGTGGTTGAATACTAATTACTTGTAGCCAAGGACATTTAAAGACCAATCTTTCACTTTTTTTTTCTTCCCAATTTGAATCTGTTCCTAATGCTTCTTGCCCAACCTACTTTTCGAAAAACAAGTTAATAAACCAGCAAAATCCATAGTTAGGATGAAATTAATGAAATTAGCAAGCTTGCTTTCCTTCCTTCATTGATTTGACAAACATTTATTGGGTGCTTCCTATCCCCAGGCAATGGGCTAAATGCTGGGAAGGGAGCCATGAGCAAACACCAGCACGGTGCCTACCCCCCGGTGCCAAAGTCTAGTAAGAGAGCAGGCATGAAGGAAATAATCATACCAATAAATGTAAGACTGCAACTCTGGGAGCCCAATGACAGAGAAGCTAGGCGTGCGGTCTAAAGAGTGCATTTCATTGGGGTTCGAGCTGGTCGCAGACCAGGAAGACTGCCCTGCGGACATGGCACGAGATGCATCAAGAGCTAACTGGGTGAGGGGCAAGAGGGCCGCTTACTAGCCAGATGCACCAGCAAGTGCAAAGGCCTTCCGAGGGAAGAGCGCGTGGCCAGGTCAAGGGAACTTTAGAAAGTCGGTATGACTGGAGGAGTAAATGGTCTAAGATGAGGCCAGGGGCATGGGCAAGGGCCAGGCCACCAGGTACATGATGAGCTGTGCTAAGCGAGCTTGTCACTAAGCCCAAGAGCAACGGGAATCACTGAAGGGCTTTGATCACTGGGATGACACAATCAAACTGTTACCTCAGAAACATTACTTTCATGGTAGCATAATGAGTAAAATCATCCATACTGTACTTTTCATCTGAAATAGGAAAAAATATGGATTATTGTCTCCTCTAGAGATGACAGTAATGACATGTTGAGAAGGAGAGCAACTTGCCAGGTCATAGGCACACTGGGGGCTATGACATGGGACTCTTGTCCCATGTTCCCAAGTCTCTAAACATCCAATTTTTAAAAAGTAGATTGAAAATTTGCCCATTGTCACATTAGGTGACCCTCTCAACTTATGCATTTGACACGCTTGCTGACTTCTGAAGTTGTGTGGGTATAAAGGACTCAGCCAGGGGCCAGAAATACAAGCTGCCTGATGTCTCCTCCTAGGAGTGGTGAAGCCTTACTACCTCTTCCCTCCACACACTGGACCTATTTCTCCTCCCTTTCTCTGCTCTCAGTCACCCCAACTCCTTAACTGCTGTGTTACTCCCTAAGGCAAGTCTAAATCATCCTAGACCATTGAGTGGTAAACAGTGGGAAAAAGACTCAGGGGCTCCAATGAACAAGCATGAACTGTCAAATGTTTCATATGCTCAAGGAGATAAAATACAAGACTAAAAATTTCAGCAGAGAAATGGAAATTATTTCTTTTAAAAAGAGCCAATGGAGGGCGCCTGGGTGGCTCAGTTGGTTAAGCGACTGCCTTCAGCTCAGGTCATGATCCTGGAGTCCCGGGATCGAGTCCCACATCGGGCTCCCTGCTCGGCAGGGAGTCTGCTTCTCCCTCTGATACTCCTCCCTCTCATGCTCTCTGTCTCTCATTCTCTCTCTCGCAAATAAATAAAATCTTTAAAAAATTAAAAAAAAAAAAAGAGCAATGGAAGTTCTGGAACTGAAAATACAATATCCCAAATTAAGAATTCTATAGACAGGTTTAAGAGAAAATTAGTAAACCAAAATATACAGGGGAAAAGTAGAGCATAATAATAAGGCACAGAGCAACAAAAACATGGGAAGCACAACAGAAAGGTGACTCAGAGTATGCCCTGAGAAAGTCTGGTAAATGTGCATAGAAGATTCTAGAAGGAGAGACGAGAGTGGCGGAAATGTGATATTTAAGAAATAATGGCTGAGAAATTTCCAAAAACGGTGAAGATCAAATCTCAGTCAGAAAACCCTAAGAACTCCAGTAGGATAAACAAAAGAAACCCATCCCTAGGTACATCATAATAAAACCAATGAAAGTCAAAGACAAAAGGACTATCTTGAATATAGCAAGAGAAACAAAATGTGTATTATCTTAAAAAGACCAAAAATAAAACGCCAACCGACTTTTCAACAGGGGACAATAGAATGGTATCTTCAAAGTGCTTAGAAACAACACACATCTACAAAATCAGGAATGAAAAAGCAGTAAGTAGCACTGCAAATGCCACAAGAAATATACTATGAAGGTATTATAAACACCCCTATGAAAGGTTAGATGGATGGTCAAATTATCAGAGAAATAAAACTTACCCAAACTGGCACAATATAGTAGAAAATATAGTCATGTTACTTTTAAAGTAATTGAATCCATAATTTAAACCCCCCGAAAAGAAAGTCCCGGTCAAGATGAATTCACTGGGAATTCCACCAAACACTCAGAAAAGAAATAATGCAACTCTTACACAAACTCTTTCCAAGAAGAAGAAAAGAAAAAAAGCAATCTCAAACTTGCTTTTTGACCATGACCCAAAACCTCTTAAGAATATTATAAGAATGGAAAATTTCAGACCATTCTTACTCATGAACACAGATACAAAATTTTAAACAAAACCCGTTGAACAATATATAAAGAATTAACACATTATAGCCAAATTAGTCTCCTCCCAGGAATGCTGGGTTTGCATAACATCAAAAACCAGTCGGTCAGAATCACATGACATCTCAATAGATGCAGAAAAGTCATAAAATTCAACATCCGTCATTAAAAAAAAAAAAATTCATAGGAGACTGGGAATAGAAGCTAACTCTTTGTTTTTATATTTAAAAAGCAACAGAACACCTGGGTGGCTCAGTCAGTTAAGTGTCTGCCTTTGGCTCAGGTCATGATCCCAGGGTCTTGGGATCGAGTCCTGCATCAGGCTACTTGCTCAGCTGGGAGCCTGCTTCTACCTCTGCCTGCCACTCGCCGTGCTTTTGCTTGTGCTCTCTCTCTCTCTCTCTGACAAATAAAATCCTTTAAAAAAATAAAAATAAAAAGCATTTACAAAAAACATTATAGGTAGAAAAATTACACACTTTCCTTCTGAGATCAGGAATGAGCTGAGAATGCCCACAATCACCACTTCTATTCAATGCTGTACCAGAAGGCCTAACAGCAGTAAATCAAGAAAAATGGAGAAAGGATAGAATTGGAAATAAAGAAATAAAACTGTCATCATTCCCTGACTACATAATTGGTTTACGTAAAATGTCAAAAAAATTACAGGTGAACTATTTAGAGCTAGTATGTGAATTTAGCAAGGTCTGGAGGTACAAGGATAATTTTTTAAAAATCAGTTATTTCTACATAACCGCAGTAAATAATTAGAAAATGAAATTTTTAATATACCTTTATCTCTTTATGTTTGATCTTTGTGAATGTGTTATCCAGTCCAAAGAAAATGTTTTTGATTAAACAGTCTTTTGTTCTGGAAAAAGAAAAGATTATTTTTAACAATAGCATCAAACGCAGACACACACACACACACACACACACACACATCCTAATCGGCAGGATAACAGCAGACACTTGAGTTTAAAACTCTCCACATAATCTCCTCCAAATAGCCTAAGATCATCAAGGAGTGGAAATAAACCACACATGCCTCCAGCATTACCAGAATCAGGAAGAACTTCAAGTTCTGCAGAGAAATATGCACCTAATCACAACAAAGCTGTTGCCAGCGCTTCAAGACCTTGGGAGTAAAGAGTGGGAAGGGGAGTCTTAGGAAAATCCTTGAAAAACAGGAGTCCTGCACACTGTGCAGTCACACAGGGCTCTGTGCTCAGAAGGATGCTGCACTTGATTTAAAGCTCTGTTGTCCCTATCTTGAAAGTCTTCACAATTTTATCTTTGAACCAATGCCATCACGCATGGGAATTCAGGGAGGTTCAAAGTGCACAGAAAGTGTGTAATGCCCACAATCGGGTAGGTAAGGGGAGAGCCCCAGGAGACCACACTTTGTTTGACCCAGAATTTGTTTTGACTGCACACAGAAGGCAGTGTGTCTGTCCTTGGAAAGGCTAACGACCAAGCATAATCTTTCTTCCCTCCATTCACCAACCACATATGCTGAAAATGATGACATAAGGGAAGGGGAGAGACAGACAACCCAGAGTGCCTTTTCTTCTCAGTCCTTCCTCACTCATCAGTAACCCAAAGGTAGCAAGTGTTGTTAGAATGTGAGCATATCTAGAAGTGGAATAGAAACAGTGGAGTTACTTTTGTACAACCATCCCATTTTCTTCCAAAGAACAAAATACATATGTATGTTAAAACTAGGAAATATTCATCATGTGATTTTTGGGGATTTCACTCAGGAGATCAATGCTCTTTTTTTTTTTAAGATTTTATTTATTTATTTGAGACAGAGAATGAGAGACAGAGAGCATGAGAGGGAGGAGGGTCAGAGGGAGAAGCAGACTCTCTGCTGAGCAGGGAGCCCGATGCGGGACTCGATCCCGGGACTCCAGGATCATGACCTGAGCCGAAGGCAGTCGCTTAACCAACTGAGCCACCCAGGTGCCCGGAGATCAATGCTCTTATATTTGCACTTAAAATTGCCATTGTGATATAAAGATGAACAGTAGAATTCATTCTAATAATTCAAATTTAATTTTTCTTTATTTAAAATGAGATTAAATAGCAGATAAAAACACCATGGCAAATCAGGAGATAGCAAAAGAAAAGAACATGCTTTATATTTTAGTACCTTTCATGACATTTTTTTCCCTTTTTGAACAAAGGGTTTGGCATCTTCATTTTGCATGTGGTTCCCAAATGATGTAGAAAGCCTTGAGTAAATGTGTTGATATTGCCAGTGGGAATTCTTACTATGGAAAAAGGGAGATACAAACATGGAATGATGAAGACAGAGCCGACTTTGTATATGTGAGACATAGGCAGTCACACAGGCCCTGTGTGAAAAGAGTCCCTCGCTCGGTTTAGTGCTCTCTGGTGCTGAAATTCTGGATAAATTTTGAACAAGGGTCCCCACAGTTCATCTTGCACCCGACTCCACAAATTATGTAGACAGTCCTGTATGATGGCAAGGTGACCCATGGGTTCAGTTGGAATTGGAGATATCAATGTAAACTTATGTTTCTTAAAAGTATATACATGCAGATATGTTATAGTCAGTGTATAGTTTTATTTACACACACACACACACACACACACAGGTATATTTATCCTAGCCCTGGCCACTGAAAGAGCAATGAACAGTCCTCCATCCAGATCCAGGAACAAGGGTTTATTGGAGACATGGCTTGTTCCATCGCTGAGACAGGTAAGGCACAGATGAGCATGAACTCTTGGGTCAGAAAGTAAAGAAATGCTCAAAAAAAGAGGGAAACATGTCAAAGACATAGGAGCCAGCTTAACAATGTTCTCACTACCCCAATTTTGGGACAATCTGAGCATCAGGAAAGAGAGAGAGGGAGAGAGGGAGAGAGGAAGGAAGGAAGGAAGGAAGGAAGGAAGGAAGGAAGGAAGGAAGGAAGAAAGAAGAGAAAGAAAGAAAGAAAGAAAAAGAAAGAAAGAAAGAAAGAAAGAAAGAAAGAAAGAAAGAAAGAAAGAAAGAAAGAAAGAAAAGAAAAGGAGAGGGGGAGGGGAGAGGGGAGGGGAGGAAGGAAGACAGTAATGGATTATAAATCATTGAATATAATAGGAATCTGTGAGCCCATAAAATAAAAAGCAGAGAAACAAAGAAAAAAATGAGGGAGAAAGGAGGGTTCTTCCTGACAGTCAAATGCTGAATGATAAATGTGGAAGAAGTGTGGAACTGGAAAATCACCTTTCTGTAATCATTACAGCAAAGATTGGTTTGGGCAAGAATCATCAGCAGATGCTAAAATTAAAGGACACAGTTAACAAGGTGCAGGATATTTTCAGGGCTTCATTGCTTTCCCCCAGACTGCCTATTAACTTCAAGGGGAAAGAAAATATGTGTGCAGTGGAAAAACTGAACAATACTTTGGGCGGGTGACCAAAACCATTATGAATCAGAGGCAGGTAGGCATCACGTGCCTTCAGATGGAATATCCTGAGAGAGACACGCATTACTTCTGAAATATTCCTGCCAGGGGTGCAAAACCTGAATCTAAAGGTGAGGAACATTAGACAAATCCAACTTGAGAAACATCCAATAAAGAAACTGGCCTGTAGTCTTCAACATTGTCAGAATCATGAAAGCCAAAGAAGGCCCATGGAACTGCGCCAAATCAAAGATGAACACAAAATGCCAATGAAATGCAAGGTGTGCTTCTGAACTAGGTTCTATGCTGGAAGGATGTTACTAGCACAACTAACAAAACTGGAAGGTGAACTGCTTTAGATGAAAGAATTAAGTCAAAGCTAAGATTTCTGAACTTGAGAACTGTATCGTAGTTATATAAGAGACTCTCCTCATTCTTAGAAAATACATATGGAAATATTAATGGGTAAAGGGGCCTGACTTGTGCAATCTACTCTCAAATTATTTAGAAAACAAAAAAAATGATATATATCTATAGAAAGAATAAGAAAGAGAGAGAGAATAACAAATATGGCAAAATATGTTTCAAATGTTGAATCTGGGTAAAGGGAATAAGGGATTTCTCTGTACTATCCTTGCAGCTTTTCTGTAAGTTTGAAATCATTGCAAATAAAAAGTTAAAAGAACAAATACCTAAAACTACAGGTGATAAAACATGTGTGAGCCCTCTAACAGAAGAGCACCAAGTATCATGGTAAGAAACCATTAAAAACTGAAATAAGAGAAGGAATAAACCATATTCATGGATTGAAGACCCAATACTGTAAAGATGTCAATTTTCTCAAAGTTATCTATGGAGTCAGTGCAGTCTAAATAAAAATCCCAGCAAGGGCGCCTGGGTGGCTCAGTTGGTTAAGCGACTGCCTTCGGCTCAGGTCATGGTCCTGGAGTCCCTGGATTGAGTCCTGCATCGGGCTCCCTGCTCAGCAGGGAGTCTGCTTCTCCCTCTCCCGCTCCCCCCTCTTGTGCTCTCTCACTCTCTCTCTCTCTCAAATAAATAAATAAATAAAATCTTTAAAAAAAAAAAATCCCAGCAAGATATTTATGACAATTGAAAAGCTTGTTCTAGAATCAAATGGAAATCTGATGGGTCAAGACTAGCCAAGACAATCTTAAATAAGTACCAAGTGAGATGATTTACTCTATCAGATACCGAACTTTATTTTAAAGCTACATTAATTAAGGTGATATTGGTGCAAGTTTAGATAAATAAATCAATGGAATATGATAGAGAATCTAAAACGGACCCTCTAGATTTATAACAAAATGGCCTTGGAGAGCAATTTGGAAAAGACGATCTTCCAATTAAGTGATACTGAGTCAATTAGAGGTGGGGGCCACGATGGAGGCTAGACTCCTACCATTCACAAAACTCAATTCCAGGAGGACTGAAGGTAAATGTACAAGGCAAGATAATAAAACTTCTAGAAGATTATTGTGCCAGTTACTAAGCTGTTGTCTCTCAGCTCCAGATCTACTCTTCTGTTCTGTGCTTGGTGATTCGGGGGCTGGGACTCTACATTTCTCCTTTGCCAGTTGGTTTCCTGCTAGATTCTGCATTAGGGGCTGCAAGAGGGAGACTGAGAGACGGGAGAAAGTGAAGAGTCTTCCTCCTTTCAGCTCTGCGTGCTGTTCTGCACGCATCTCTCCAGCTGCAGCCTGGTTCAAGCCTCCAGCTCAGCTCACCCCACCACGCCCCCCTGGGAGCTAGCAGCAGCAGCTGGACGGCACCTGCACCTGCCTCCCAGACTGCTGTGGGATCCCTTCTCTGAGTTCCAGGGTCTGGTAACACCAGCTCTTCTCTTTGCTCCCCTCGTCTTAGAGGCACCACCTGTTTTGTGAAGCAATTATCTCCCTGTTGCTGTAAGCTTCCTTTTTTGTCTTCAGGCTCTGAGATCCATGTAACCATTTCTCCTTATTAAATCCTCTCTGTTGCACATGGTGTCATTTCTGTCTCCCAACTCTGCCATGACTGATACAGTAATAAGCAAGAAGATTCTTAAGACCTCAGGGTAAGGAAAGATTTCCTAAGCAGGACACAAAAAGTGCTAACCATAAAGGAAAAGCTTGGTGAGTTAAATGACATTGAAAATATTGAAAGATAGCATTTAAAGGATTAAAAGGTGATTATACTTCAACAAAGCTGATAAGAGGGGCAAAGACTTCAAAATGTACTTCACAAAAGGTGATAGACAAATGTCCAAAAATATACAAAAAGGGATTCAACCTAATTTGTATGAATGGAATGCAAATTAAAAATCAAGATGAGATGTCACTACAAACGATGAGAAAAGCTGGATTTAGAAAGACTGGATGCAGTACCACAAACATACTGGTATACTGTGGGTGGACGTGTGAATTAGTACAACCAGTTTGGAAAACTGTTTAGCATCACCTACCAAAATTCAACACATGCCAGCCACCAAGCAGTTTCACTCCTATTGGCAAATCCAACTGAAATGCAGGCTCTTTTCACCAAAAGTCATGTGCAAGAATGTTCACAGCAGCACTTGTAATAATTGCCAAAAACTGGAAAACCACAAGTGTCCCAAAACAGTAGATTGGAAAATAAATGGTGCTATATTCACATAATAAAATACTAAATGGGAAAGAGAACTGGATACAACTAATGCAACAGTAAGTGTGAATCCTAAAAATTTGATGTTCAAGGGAAAAAACAAAATCACTAAAGAAAACATACAATATGATTTATGTTTAACAAAACAAGCAGGACCAAACTATAGTGTTTAGGGATGCATGTTTACATGGTAAAACTATTTTTTTTTTAAGTAGAGGTCGGGACGCCTGGGTGGCTCAGTCGGTTAAGCGTCTGTCTTCAGCTCAGGTCATGATCCCAGGGTCCTGGGATCGAGTCCCGCATCGGGCTCCCCACTCTGCGGGGAGCCTGCTTCTCCCTCTGCCTCTGCCTCTCTCTCTCTTTCTCTCTCTCATGAATAAATAAATAAAATCTTTAAAAAAAATAAAATAAAAATAAAAAAATAAAAGTAGAGGTCATCATCATATATATCAGGATAGTGGTGACTTCTAGAAAGTATGGAATGGGCAGCACTGAGGGCTTCTAGGTGCTGGGTGCTGGCAATGTTCTTTTTTTCACCTCATTATATATATACAACTTTGCTTTTCAAAAAAATTATAGAGTCATACTTTATTTAGGGGCACCATTTTTATATATGTTGTATTTCACAATAAAGAGGATGAAAATGTAGATAATGCACACTTCTGAGGATCACTGTAAGGATTAAAGGAGATAAGGTGGGTGTACAGAGAGCTTTGCAAAGTACCTGACAGGTAATGAGCATTCAGTACATGATAGTTGTTATCTGGTAAAGTACTACTGAGAGACAGAACTATGAACCCCGGGCTAGGAGAAAACAAACCCTAATGGGAAGCAGTCAGAGGACCTGAAATGGTTTCTTATATATGCTACAGGCTGCAGGTAAAAGTTGGAGGTGAGCTTTAAGTGTGTTTGCAATAGATAAATGCCAAAGACTAGGAATAATGCCTACCTCATTGCCTGGCTCATGAGAGTCCCTCATTAATTATTAGAAATATGGATGGGGGGCGCCTGGGTGGCTCAGATGGTTAAGCGTCTGCCTTCGGCTCAGGTCATGATCCCAGCGTCCTGGGATCGAGTCCCGCATCGGGCTCCCTACTCCTTGGGAGCCTGCTTCTCCCTCTGCCTCTCTCTCATGAATAAATAAATAAAATCTTTAAAAAAAAAAAAAGAAATATGGATGGGTGGATGGATGGATGGATGGATGGATGGATGGATGGATGGATGGATGGATGGATAGGCAGGTAGATAAGTAGGTGGGTGAATGGGTACGTAGATGGATGGGAAGATAGGTGGGTGAGTGGATGAATGGGTAAGTGAGTGCATTGGTGGGTGAGTGGATGGTTGGGTGGATGAATGAATGGACTGGAGGATGGGTGGATAAATTGAAACAAGAGTTGGTCTGATGCAAATTTTGCAGCTCCAAAGTGAAGAGACTTCTCCACACATTTTGTCTTTGCCCAGAACTTAACAGAACACCATACGCAAGTTTTTATTTCAGGCTTTGTGATTACAGGGATGTTGGTGACCACTTTTGCAGATCTTTTCATGGTTCTTCTCGGTTGTTTACTGGCCAGAGGAAGGGCTTATATCAACCTGGATCTATAATACCTACCATCAAGGGGGAAGAGAGCTGATTTTACCTACAAATTAAGCGTCTGGCAGGGCTACCAATTCAGGTTGAAGGCAGAGTATTAGAGTAGTTTTTCCACCCAGACACACCCCCCACGGGGAGGAGAGGCTAAACTAATGAACATCCAATGGATAGGGACTCAAGCATGAAGAGGAGGCACCAGGCTAAAAACATGTTTTCCTAAGAAAGCCTAAAATGACAAACAGGCATCCGGAATGGAGACCACTGAAGCCACAATTTCCAGTCCAGTATTGTATGTAATTGTAGACTTCAAAGTTTTGTTCATTGCAGGGAAACATCACTATATGCACCAAGCAATCACTATGTCCCTTTCACTCAGTAAGCCTGTCTGGTTCTTAGAACTGCAGACAGAGATGCCCATGGACTACAGAGGCACATGCTATTGTCACATGACAGAGGTCTTGTACATTGCTTTATTTTTTTCCTATTATAAAGCATAATATGCTTGCTCATAAATCTGAACATCTCCTCCTACCCTTCCAGCCCCCCTTCCTAGCCCCTCATGTGGTAACACAATTAACAGTTGGATCTGGTTCCTTCCAGACTTTTTTCTTTACATGCATACAGACACACATTTCTTTTTATTAAAAAAAAATGATATCAAGACTGTTGAATCTCAGATCTATACCTCTGAAACAAATAATACAATATATGTTAAGAAAAAAAAAAAAAGAAGAAGAAGAAGGTAGCGGGAGGGGAAGAATGAAGCGGGGGAAATCAGAGGCAGAGACAAACCATGAGAGACGATGGACTCTGAAAAACAAACTGAGGGTTCTAGAGGGGAGGGGGGTGGGAGGATGGGTTAGCCTGGTGGTGGGTATTGAGGAGGGCACATTCTGCATGGAGCACTGGGTGTTATGCACAAACAATGAATCATGGAACACTACATCTAAAACTAATGATGTAATGTATGGGGATTAACATAAGAATTAAAAAAAGGAAAAAAAAAAAGAAATAGTTAAGATGGTAAATGTTATGTTATGTGTTTTTTAAACAAAAAGAAACAGCATCCATAATTCATCATACATGTATAAATCATGTTCATATTTTGATGTTGCAAAAAAAAGATATCAAAATATATATGTAGAGTATAATAAACAATTTGGTCTTTGTCCCCAGTTCCTGGAACAGAACTCCTAAAACCCTTGGAATTTCCTGAGCAGTTGGAGCGCCTCATTATGTATAAGGTACCCCTTTTGGTCACACCTGAGTTTATGCCAACGAGGTGACATAAGTAGGGTCCCTAGAGAGCTTTGGGATAGGGCTGGCCCCAAGTGATTACAGACCTGGAACTTTCAGCTCCATCCACCAACCTCGGGGAAGGGGTGAGGGGGCTGGAGATTGAGCTCTATAAAAACTCTTGCATGAGCTTTGATGAGCTTCCAGGTCGGTAAGCACGCAGAGGTGCCGGGAGGGTGGTGCACCCAGAGAGGGAACTATGCCCCTTCCTATGCCCCTTCCTGCATCCCTTGTCCTAGGCATCGCCTCCATTTGTCTGCTCCTGAGCTGTATCCTTTATAATAAACTGGTAAACTTGAGGAGGGGGTCCTGGGAGCCCCAATATGTAGCCAGTCAGCCAGAAGGACAGCTGACAACCAGGGACTGCAGTGGGGGCTCCTGTGGGACTGAGCCCTTTCACTGACAGAACAGAACACTCCCTCCAGAATTGGATTGAATCACTGGATATTGGAGCTGGTATTGGAGAATTGGTTGGTGCCAGGAAACACTCTGCAATATGTTACTTCTTTTTTTAAAGATTTTATTTATTTATTTATTTGAGAGAGAGAATGAGAGAGAGAGAGAGAGCATGAGAGGGGGAGGGTCAGAGGGAGAAGCAGACTCCCCGCTGAGCAGGGAGCCTGATGCGGGACTCGATCGCGGGACTCTGGGATCATGACCTGAGCCGAAGGCAGTCGCTTAACCAACTGAGCCACCCAGGCACCCCTGCAATATGTTACTTCTTAACTTGCTTTTTCAGTCAGTGTTTACCATAAATAACTTTCAATGGAAGGACTTAGCATTTCATTCTTTTCAATAATCAAAGAGTAAAGCAGACACTAACCAAACCCTCCAATCCCTCCACCATTTCAGTGCGTGTCCATCCCCTGGCTTATGTGTGCTTCTCTTTAGGTATAAGCACCTGCAGCTCCTTTCTGGAGCCTGCCCTTGAGCTTCTGGAGCCATTTTGCCTGTTAACATGGAGAACTAGGAGGGGCTGGAGGATTATGAAAGCCCAGACCCCTGCCTCTGGTATAATTTGGTGCAATTTATACTTGGTACAATTTATACTCCAGAGCTCCCCCACAGGGATCAGGTGAGTGCTGGGATTTGTCTGAAGTCACTCCCTGACTTGATTTCTTTCCCTTTCCCACTCCTGCCTCCCTCCTCCTACGTTCTCGTAGGAACACTTCTGTAATAAATCATAACAAATCGCATGCAGACAAGTTGTCGCTGCAGAGTGTATTCCAGGAAGATGACTCATGACACACAATATTCCATGGCATAGGATGTGCCATCATTTACCTAATTAATCTCCTATTAATGGACTTTCAAGTTATTTCTGAATTTCCCTATCCCAGACCATGCTACACTACACTGTATTTGCACACTACTCCTACAATAGAGTCCTTCGTGGCCCCCCACCTGGCTACTCTTCCCACTTGCTTTGGTGGTCAAGTCAGTTGTTTTGCCTCCTGCCATCATAGTTTAAAAATAAGAAGGTAAACACTCCTGCAAGCAACCCACTACTTTTATTAGCGACCCTGAAGATAAATGACTCAGTGCATGTGTTTATTTTTCCTGGAGTTAAGTTAGGATCAAAGAGCTCAGCCCACACTGCTTCCTGAAACACCCTCCTCTCAGATTCCTAAGTAATCAATGGTTGTTATCACACACCCTCCCTGGAGGCTGGTGTAGACGTATTTTCAGATCAATGACTCAGAAAGAGTCCTTTGTTTGAGAAATTACGGGGTCTTACGTCTCAGTGTCAAACCTTTTTCCAACTCCTTGGATGGTCCCAAATAAAAAAGCTGAGTTCTTGATGATGGAGAGACTTCATTTATTGACGCTAGTGGGAAATTTTCTGGGAATTCCTGAAAGGAAAGGGCTCCACGTGGGTTGAATATTTCTTTTTGAAACAAACGGCTAGGACGTATGGAAATCTGTTTGGAACTCTTGTTTAGGAAACATTTAAAAATGAGCTAAACTATCTTACTCTCCAGGGAATCCCCAGAGTCGAGCCTTCCTCCACATCATTCTCTCTTGGCACGAAACCCAAGGCAGCAGTAATCTGGTTCCTTCCTTTTCTCTCCTCGAGGGTGAATTTGATCTACCAGTGTCTGAAAGGCCCCCCCTTATCTCTGACTATGGATTTCCACTCACTGAATAGTCCCAAGTGAAGCTTCAGGATGACAAATCTCCATCAACGTGCCTGACAGTAGCCCCACCTCACTCTTGCCGCCGCGCAGGGTGATTAAGGAAGTCAGTCCACGGGGCGCCTGGGTGGCTCAGTCGGTTAAGCGACTGCCTTCGGCTCAGGTCATGATCCTGGAGTCCCGGGATCGAGTCCCGCATCGGGCTCCCTGCTCGGCAGGGAGTCTGCTTCTCCCTCTGACCCTCCCGACCCTCCCCCCTCTCATGCTCTCTCTCTCTCAGTCTCTCTCTCTCAAATAAATAAATAAAATCTTTAAAAAAAAAAAAAAAAAAAGGAAGTCAGTCCACTTACAACACAGCCATGGGGCGGGGGCGGGGGGGGAGTGGGGGGTGGGAAGAGATGTGGTGGTTGCATCTCCGGGCTGCCTGACCGCTTAGCCTCCACGTGGAATAGGAGAGAACACTGCAGATGGATTCCCAGCACCCAACCCTGGGACCAGCTGGATACAGACGCAGCCATCTCCCCTGGGTGTTAGCACTCACATCCTAACAAGGACCCTATCTTTTTTTTTTTTTCATCAGGGATGACAAACTTAAAACAGGTTGACTCACCTTCACCTCTCAGTCTCCTACTGACCCACCCCTTCCTGTCCTGGGAAAAAAAAAAAAAAATCCTCGATTAGTCCCAGGCCATTCACTTCCTCTGGTTGGGTGGATGCTGGGCCAAACCATCCAAGAAGGGGAGAATGAAATCTTCTTCAGAAAATCCTCTTGGTCCTGAAGCAAAGAGCAAAAGACAAAGTAAGTGCTGAGGGCCCAGCACTTGGTGGTAGAAGGAAATCCAGCGATCAGACTGTGAAGGCGTGGGGTGAGGAATACAAGTTTTCAGAGTTTAAGTGGTTTACCCCAAAGCAGGCCATTTAAGGGGCAAGTCAGAGATTGCAGCCTGCTTTCTTTCCAAGTTCCTAGCCCGGGGCTCTTTCCAGTAGAAAACATTGCTAATGTTATTAGAAACACAAGGAACACGAGAGAGAACAGAGAGAACGTGGGTGAATGTCAAGGTCCCTCTGATCACCTGACAACACTTTGTTTTTATTATTATTACGATTACTGCTATTATTATTATTATCATTATTATTTTTATTATTATTATTATTATTATTATAGAATGCTGTTGTCACTTTATGTCTTTTTTCACACTTAGCTAAGCTAAAAGGTCCTGAAGGGGAAGTGTCAGTATGTCCCTTTCTGTGGCTTCCCAAGCCGCCCCTCTGGGCCGAGAACCTAGAGCACTGTCCTCCACACTGACGTCGTTCAAAACATGGGGCCTTCACCCCATGAAATCCACACATCCAACTAGCTCTGGCCTCCCAGCAAAGCCTGCCCACTGTTTGCCCGACCTGGCAACAGTGTTTTGGCACTGACCAAAACAACACCAAAAAATTACTCTTTATTTCTCTCAAGTTTACACCGCTGTAAGAGGAGACACCTGTTGAAAGAATCGTGCCCAGACAAAACATGTATCTTGCATTTTTGCATTAAAATTGATTTTCTTAAAAGAGGTTGATTAAATGTTATTTCATGTAATGGGGGTTGGAGATATAAATAGATGGAAACCCTCCCCATGAAGCTATAAATGGGGCCCAAGAGAACTAACGGCAAAAAATGCCAGGTTAATAGAAAATAACCATCTTCAATTGGTCTGCACAAAAAGCACACTTCTATTTTACACAACTGACTCTGATCTGAGAAAGTGCCAACTGGCCATGGAACCAGGAAACCCCGTCTGTCTCCGAGGCTCCTCTCCGTCTCAGGTGAACGTGGTTCTCTCAGGCAGGTATCATCAGAGAACCAGAGAAGTGCAGATGCAGTCGAAGACCAGTGTGGCCCGCAGTCTGCTGGGTGGAGTGTGAGCTCTGTGTCTGGATGTCCAGGTCACCTCTCCCGCTGTCTACGTACTGCCCCCCAGCCAGGGGCTGGACCGGGTGAGCCAGAGACCCTGCAGCAATTCTGTTCTTCAACTCCTGAATGGGAAGGAGCACACAGTAGATTGACTGGCTTGAGAGAATCATCAGAAGGGGATAAAGAGGAAAGTACATGAATTAAAAAGACCATCTATTCCTGGTCCCAAGTGAGACATGCTACTTTTTACCAAAGGTTGCCTAAAGATTGTGTTCTTTCCTTCATCTTGGGAGCACCAACTGCCCTCCCTGCTCTCCCCTACCCACCCCCCCACCAGGCTATAGCCCCACCTTTGCTTTCTCTTCTCTACACCAAGACCCAGGTAGAAGAATGTGGGAACGAAGCACGGGGGTGCTCTTTCTGAGCTAACAACTCACGTCACAGAACACATCCCACCCCTAGGTGTTTGGTGATGACACTGTATCACCCTCACCTGGAGCAAATCTGTCTGCATTAGGAGACCACATCCTGCCGCCCACAGACATCCACTTCAACGCACCTGTGTGCAACCTCACCAGGTAGCCAGCTCCCCACAAGCCAATTGCCCAATTTGTTTAATTTTATGAAACCACTTTAGATTTCTAGAAGGTAACTTGTTTTTTATCTTGCAATAAGCAGACAACCTTCAAGGGAAGATACATAGGAAGAAAACTAAAAGTCAAGACTTTTTAAGATTTTACTATTTATTTTTTATTTATTTATTTGAGAAAGCGCGCAAGAGAGAGAGCATGAGCAGGGGGAGGGGCAGAGGCAGAGGGAGAAGCAGACTCCCCACTGAGCAGGGAGCCCAAGGTGGGGCTCAATCCCAGGACCCCGAGATCATCACTTGAGCCGAAAGCAGACCGAGCCACCCAGGCACCCCAAGATTTTACCATTTTTAATTATATATGTAATGGATGTAATTGTTCTCCTTGTAAGAGATCCAAATATAGAAGTTTATGAAGTAAAACATAAAGGCCCTGCTTTATCATCTCCACCCACTTTACCTCCAAAACTAACTTACCTCCATTAACAGTTTGATATATATCCTTCTCTACGTATAAGGTTTTTTCTATGCATTAGCACATAACATATACAAATAGCATATGTAGGACATAAATGACACCATACAACACAATAATATGTACTAGAGATCTTTTCAAATCTGCACATGTATGTTTATCTGATTATTTTTAATTGTTGCTGCTTTCCATTGTATGACCATATCATAGTTTTGTAACCAATTCCATATTGATGGCTATTTAGTTGTTTCAGATATTGTTATAATCATATATACATGATTTTACAAATGTGTATATTATATCATTCCTTAATGTAAGATAATCATTTCTGAATTTATCCATATTATAAATAACTTTCTATATAAATCTTTGTCTGCATTTATGTCTTAGGACCAATTCCTAGGAGCTGAATCACTGAATTGAAAGAGACAAACTTTTTAAAACAAAGGTCATACATGCTTACTTATCCAATTACCAAGCAGAAAGCATACACTACTGTTAACCACAAACAACACCAAAAAAGTCACAAAGGAGACTTATAGAGGATGTTCTGGGTAGCTGTTACCAATTATACCATGAGTTTTGGCATAAGTGCTCTGAACTATCTCATTCATTCTCAGATAAAACGAAGTTCAATGTAGGAGTCCCAAGAGCCAAAAGTATATCCTACAAATGCACCAGAGTATATTCTACAAATACACCAGGATAACAGCTGAAGCCAAAGAGCATCATTTCTATATTAGCCATTCGGCAGGGGGAGTAGCTTCCTGTGGCAAATTACACAAAGGATACGGACTAAATAGTTCAGGCGTTGGAGTTAGAAAGAGTTTGGATCTTTCCCTACAACTTGAAGCTTTTTCTCTCATAATATCTCTCTCATTTGTCAACTTCCGTTCCATTCTTACAACATCCTCCCTCGTGCCCATATCCTGGCTATCCTAAATTTAACTCATCCTGCCTTTGCCCCCAGATGAATCTTCCCATATGGTAATTTGCATGCCTCCCTTTGCAGGGCTTCCCAGTACCTAAGAGAATTCCACTTCCTAGGGGAATGTAGAAGAGACCATGACACCCACCCACCCTAATTACCTGGAAAAGAGGAAGAAGAAAAAGAAAACTGGATAAACTCACAAACACATATTTGTGAAAAAGCTATTGGGAACTATGGATTCAAACTAGTCTACCAACTAAATTGTAGAGGGGGCAAGGGTCTCCTCCCTGTGAATGCAGATGGTACCTCATTCTGGAGGCAAAGGGGATGGGTGGGTGGATGGATGGGTCTGCCGTAGTAGATGGAGGGAAGGTGATGAATAATTCCTGTGAAGATTCACTGAGATAAAAATACTTAATTTGGTGGTTTCATCCAAGGTTTCCTCACATCAATTTAGACATGCAGTTTGAGAGTTGGAAAAGATAGTTTGGGTTATTGTAGTTCAATGGTTCTCAACCTTGGCTGCATGTTAGAATCACCTAGGAAACTTGAAAGAACAACCATGGGGAGGCAGGGGGAAAGGGGCATCCAGGCCAATTAAAACAAAACCTCTGTGCGTAAGGCCCAGACCTCAGCACTTGGTAAAGTTCACAAGTGATTCTGATGTGCTGCCAAAATTAAGAAGCACTGGCTTATTCAACATGCTCATATGATCTCTGATGGTTTAGGTTAGATTTTTATGGGTTAAACTATTTTATCTCCTTCCCACTTTTGAGGGCTCAGGGGATGTATAGATCATCTTTGTATCTCTCACAGCATTCAACATAGTGCTTTATCCAAAGCCAGTAGAAGAAGGAAATAATAAAAATTAGAGCAGAGATAAATGAAATAGAGACTTAAAAAAAAAGAACAGATCAACGAAACCAGGCACTCATTCTTTGAAAAGAGCAACACAATTAATAAACTTTCAGTCAGACTCATTAAAAAAAGAAGAGAGAGGACTCAAATAAAATCTGAAATGAAGGAGAAATAAGTACCAATACCACAGGAATACAAAGAATTGTAAGAGAATACTATGAAAAATTATATGCCAGCAAATTGGACAACCTAGAAGACATGGATAAATTCCTAGAAACATACAACCTTCCAATATGAATCAGAAAGAAATTGAAAAATTTGAAATAACAAGTGTTGGCAAGGATGTGGACAAAAAGAAACCCTCATGAATTTGAGAAACAAGACAGAGGATCATAGGGGAAGAGAGGGAAAAATGAAACAAGGTGAAACCAGAAAGGGAGACAAACCAAAGAGACTCTTAATCTCAGGAAACAAACTGAGGGTTGCTGGAGTGGAGGGGGGTGGGAGGGATGGGGTAGCTGGGTGATGGACAGTGGGGAGGGTATGGGCTATGGTGAGCGCTGTGAAGTGTGTAAGACTGATGAATCACAGACCTGTACCTCTGAGACAAATGCTACATTATATATTAAAAAAATAAGAAGATAGTAGGAAGGGGAAAATGAAGAGGGGGGAAATCGGAGGGGACAATGAACCATGAGAGACTATGGACTCTAAGAAACAAACTAAGGGTTTTAGAGGGGAGGGAGGTGGGGGGATGGGTTAGCCCAGTGATGGCTATTAAGGAGGGCACGTATTGCATGGAGCACTGGGTGTTATACGCAAACAATGAATCACGGAACACTACATCAAAAACTAATGATGTAATATATGGTGACTAATATAATAACATAAAATTTAAAAATTAAAAAAAAAGAAACCCTCATGTACTGTTGGTGGGAATGGAAATTGGTGCAGCCACTGTGGTTCTACAAAAAAATAAAAATAGAATTATCATATGATCCAGTAATTCCACTACTGGAAATGAAACACAAGATCAAAAAGATATGTGCACTCCTATGTTTATTGCAGCATTATTTACAATAGCCAAGATGAGGAAGCAGCCCACGTGCCCATCAATAGATGAATGGATGAAAAAGACATGGTATATATACCCAATGGAATATTACTCAGCCATAAAAAAGAATGAAATCTTGCCTTTGCAACAACATGGATGGAGCTAGAGAGTACAATGCTAAGTGAAATAAGTGACTCAGAGAAAGACAAATACAAATGATTTCATTTGTATGTGGAATTTGAGCAACAAAACACATAAAGAAAAATAAAGAGACAAACATAAAAGACTATTAAATACAGAGAACAAACTGGTGGTTACCAGAAGGGAGGTGGGTGGGGGGATGGGGTGAAATAGATAAAGGGAATTAATGATGAGCACTTGATGGGCACTGAGGAATGTATAGAATTGTTGAATCATTATATTGTACACCTGAAACTAATATAACATTGTGTGTTAATTATACTCAAATTTTAAAAAAACTGTTAAAGTGGTTGGTAAATAAATAAATAAAGACAGTGCTTTACATGTAGTAGGGATTCAATAAATGTTCTCAAGGTGATTGATTAAACACATTCCTGAGAGAGTTAGTCTTTCAGAACTCAACATCAAGAACAAAATGCATTTTTTTTTAAAATTACAAATATAATACTTCAAGTAAAGGAGAGAAAATGGCATTTCCAAGCCAGAAAAATTCATACCTTACACTACTGGCCCAGGAGAATGGAAGTGACTACATTTCCAGGGAAATCACAAGAACAGAAATGAAAGAAAAGGTCCATTTTCCCATCTCACAGGATTGTTCCCACAGGGTTTCTCCTGTTTCTGTAAACTCACTGACTTTTCTCTAATCAAGTCGGATCCAGCAAAACAACAAAGACATTGGCTTTACAGCCACATGGTAACCGTGGTTACCTGGTTTGATTCACCCTCTACCCATGACAGTCTGTGCATTCTATGGCAAATTATTCAACCTCTCAAATTATTTAACTTTGAGCCAGACTTTTCTCATGTAAGTTGTTAAAAGATAAACTGAGGCCTATTACAATTTTTGAGAGTTTGCACAAAAATCCACTCAAATAGGACAACATCCAATCTAGAAGATAGACAGGAACTCCGAGTTGCTGTGCAAAATGAAAGACTTTTATAGGAAAATGGAGTGGGAACAAGGTTATACTAGGCAAAAACATGTTGTTTATTGCAAAGTCACTTTCCTTAGGAGGGGGCAGGGGTCTATCAGGCACAAGACCTAGCTAGTGCTGATCAGGAGATTCCTGATCGACTAACTTAGGATTCCATTTCTGGGAGAGCCCAAACTGTATTTAAGTTAAGTCTTGGTTTGGGCCTTAGCACAAGTGATTCCATTTAGGGTCTGCTGTCTTGTTTTCAACAATGGAAAATGGAAAAACGAACATAGAACTAGCTCATAAAGCTGTGGAGAAGATTCAGCACAATGTTCTAGGATTAAACATCTAACTCATAGTAGGCATTCAGAGAGTACTTCTATTTGTTCTTTGGGACCATTTCTCATACATTCTCTGGTAAGAACGTCAAGTTCTTGCTTCTAGTGATTCCCAGAACCGTCTGAGCATCCAAACTGACTGCTGAAGAGATATGAGATAGCCCTGTCAAAACTAGAAAGGTTCAATTAGGAAAGGTCTGGAAGAGAAAACATCACAGCAGTGGAATGGGGACAGAGCACTGGACTGGCCAGGAAAAGAGAGAGAGTTTTTTTCTCTTAATGGAGAGCTGAACTCTTGAACCAACTAGATGTGTTTTCCTTTGTTTTGCCTTCCCCTGGACTAGCCCAAAGCAGTAGGCGGATGGATGTCATTGCCTGTTTCCTCCCGGTTGTTTCATAGACCTACATTTTGAGAGGGCTAATTGTCGGAGCCCTCTTCCTTCCTCCCCACAAAGAAGAGAGCTTTGTTCAGCAATTAAATCAGGCTGTCTGAGATGCAAAGCCCTTCCATGTTAGAGCAAGGTTTGGACCCCAAAGTCAAAGAAATGGTGCCTCTTTTTTATTGAGCTGACCATGTTTTCTCCCTCAGAGACTGAACTGGACTTTTCTGCCCCATAGAAACACTGGTCCCGCCATGACATTATACCAAAAGGTAAGACCCGCTGCTAGCCCAGCAGAGCATGAAGACGACCATTTAGACACCTTGTGTCTACTTCCAATGAATGAAGACAAGCAGATTGCCTCTGGTTTGTCTATATAACGGCCTCAGACCTCTCTTCCCTTGTTTGGGACTTTTCGAATTTCAGACTCATAGGGAGAGGTAACCTCGCCAGCCACTGGGTTGCCATCCCAAGAGGTCTTTTTGGCACCCAACTTTGCAAAACGGATGTATTTTTCTCTAGCCTTCTAGAGCCTCTGAGAACTTCTCATTGCCATTCTTTTAAGGGCTTGTCTGCTCTGAGATTAAAGGGTCATGTTCTGTGGTTTTAATCTAAGTGTAAACTCCTTCAGGCCTTTCTTTGGGAAATACTGCCCAAGTTTCGTGGTGCAAGTCACACGGCAAATCTACCCTTTAAACAGGAGACTCGGGAGCTTGGGTCTGGCAGGGTAAACAGCTAGCATCACGAAGCACTCAAGGAGGATGCTGAGGCCGAGCTCAGGAAGCAGGAGGCTGCAGGATCTCGAGGAGAGTCTTGGAGAAGAGTGAGAAGAGTCAGCTTTCAGGTGGGGAAGGAAACTCAGCAGCTGTGGGAGCAGCTGTATCTGGCTTCTCTGTATCTGGCACTGGTTTCTCTCTCTTTCTGGGAAGGTGACACTCACCTGAAAAAAGAGCTAGATCGGGGGTCAAGTTGGTTTCGTCCCAGTTGCTCCTATGCTGGAAATTACTTTCCCCCTGTGGACCTCCGTTTCTACATCTGGTAAGTCGTGGAGTTGAACGAGAGCACCTCGAAGCTCCCAGCCCTCGAAGAATCTAAGCTTCTAAGAAGAAAAAGCTCATATTACAATGTGTTTACCCTTCTCTCTGATAGGAACTAATGCTTTTCTCCTGCATCTCCTATAAAAGTTCCTCCTCGCACGTAGCAGTGTTGGACCATAATAGGAACTCCATGAATTCTGAGTAAGTGAATGAATGAATGAATGAATGAATGAATGAACGAACGAACGAACAAACCCAATTTAACCCTGCTCTTCGCACTTCTGCATAGCGCCATCCCGGAGAGACTGGGGCCCCAGACAGTAGTGTAATAGGCCTTTGTCCTTAACTGCCCTTTGCAGCTTCTCGTTCCACCCTAATCATTTGTGAGCTGTGGATTTAAAAGACCAAGAATTACTTGTCCACATATAATCTGCTTGCTGTTCTTGGGTAAGAAAGCCCAGATTCTTGACTGGGGCTAAGGTGTATTTTGGGTCCAACTGACCCAGAGCACCAGCTGAGGACAGCTTTTCCCAGGTACTGTGCCCACACTCTTGGGCATGGTCTCAATTGGAATATAGTTCATGTCTTTCTGAAACGGAGTGAGCAAGCAGATTGCTCCAGGGAGACCATAGTGTCTCTAGAAATTCCCTTCCCCTCTGACCAAGCCCATCCTCCTGTGGCCTCTGGTGGTCCAGCTACCTTGGAGAACCGAGTTTGGTGGTCATTAAATGTGCTTCACTTAGCCTCCCTGTGTCTGGTGCTTTGTTAGTCCCAGTAAGGGACCTGGTGTCATGCTCTTCGTGTGGCACCTGAGGCCCAGAAAGGCCCAGAGAGCTGAGCTGAGGTCACATTGTCCCCTGATGAGCAGAGGAAACAATGAGCCAACACTTTAACTCCCAAGCCCTGAAGTTATGAAATGACGAATAACAATGTATGTCACACCCTCTTTCCCCTCATCCCCCCCACCCCCCGCCCCATGTGAGGAAATGCAAAGTGAATTAGAAAGAGAGAATAGGCCCCAGTAGGAAAATGTCCCAGCTTCTATGGCTCCCATGTGCAAAGGACATCTGAATGACAGGACCCAAAGTGCAGCCTGCTCAGAGGGGCCATGTCCTTGCTTCCTTTCAGAAGGAAGGGAGGGTTTCTCTGAAGCTGTCACAGGGGGTTTACCTCTCCCTTCTTGCTCTCTCTATACTTGTCATTCCTCAGAAATTGCACCCACTGATGCCTTCTGGGGTTTAATAACAAAGTAAAGAAGTCTTGGACCAAGTTTCCCTTGACTCTTGGAGCTAGACAAAAGATGCTGAATTTGTCATCCTGGGACCTGTGGCTGCTCCATTTCCAAACATCACAATGTGGTTTTTATTTTTTTATTGTTTTTATTTTTTTACAATGTGGTTTTTAAAGGACTCTCTCTCTCCCTTTTTCTTTTTCCTTCTCAGAAGCTCTTGCTTTCTTCTCTACACAGCTACCTTATCTGTTTTGGAACTTTACGGCCCTGAGCATCCTTAGCAAAGCCATTAGATGGCTAGCTCTGAAAGGAGCCACCAAGTCTGAAAATGTTCTCTAGCTCTGATACATACAACCCTTAGTCTTGCCTATAACAACCATTCCGCAGACACGCAGTGGCGGTAACCCCCTCCCAAGTCATATCGGAAAGCCTCCCTGGAACAACGAAAACTGAACCCCTCCAGGCTGGGCAGTCACCTAATGTGCTATTCAAAAAACTCTTTTCAGCGCATTACAGTGAGAATATTTTCAACCTGCAGGCTTCACCCAAAGAACCAAGTGAAATCTTCCCCCAGTAGTTAAGGCATATGAGGAAGATGTGAGCCAGGATGATGCTGGCCTACAGGTCAGGTGGAAACTGAGAGAACCACCTCCCACCCAGGCAGGAATATTAGGGGCTTAATATTCCGGGTAGTGAAAGGCGTGTCGTTCATGGAAATTGAAGAACTGCAAAGCTGGCAAGAAACTTAAAAGCTCATCTAGGAAAAACTGGGGAAAATTCAAATAAAGTCTGTAGTTTTGTTAATAGTATTGTACTAATGTTAATTCTTAGTTTTGATGACGGTACCACATTTTTGTAAGATGTTAACATTAGGGAAGATGAATAAGGGGTGTACGGCAATTCTCTGTACTTTCTTTGTAACACTTCTGTAAATCTAAAATATTTAAAAATAAAAATGTTTTAGGGTGCCTGGGTAGCTCAGTTGGTTGGGTGACTGCCTTCGGCTCAGGTCATGATCCTGGAGTCCCGGGATCGAGTCCCGCATCGGGCTCCCTGCTCAGCGGGGAGTCTGCTTCTCCCTCTGACCCTCCCCCCTCTCATGTGCTCTCGCTCTCTCTCATTCTCTCTCTCAAATAAATAAATAAAATCTTAAAAAAATAAAAATAAAAATGTTTTAGGGGCACCTGGGTGGCTCAGTCATTTAAGCATCTCACTCTTGATTTCAGTGCATGATCTCAGGGTCATGAGATCAAGCCCTGAATTGGGCTCCACACTCAGCAGGGACTCTGCTTAAGATTCTCTCTCTTTCTCTCTCAAATAAAGAAATAAATCTCTTTTAAAAAGTTTTTTAAAACACTGGTCTAAGGTCTTCATTTTATGTATAAGAAATCTAGGCATCCTAGCTGGCAAATGCCCAGCTCCCTAGCAGCAAGCACATGGGAAGTGCTTGATGAATATTCCCTTAATTACATGGATTTTATTCTAATAGCTAGTGACTAAACAGTTGCCCCCAGAACCCAGGCATCCTGGGCAAGTCCAAACAAACAATGACTCTGTAAAGTAAGGATCGTAATTTTTTTTAAGTTTCGTTTTTATCTTTATTTTTTTTTGGAGTCCCTCCTTAGAGTCATATATTTATTGAAGCGTTGGGTAGCGATAGAGGTAGATGTATATACCAAAAAAGAGAGGAAAGATCCATCCATTATGTCTGCCATTAAACTGTTCAATGATTTATTCAACAGAATGGATGTATCTTTTTTTTTAATGTAAATTCAATTAGCCAACATATAGTTCATCATTAGTTTCAGATGTAGTGTTCAGTAATTCATCAGTTGCGTATAACACCCAGTGCTCATCACATCACGTGCCCTCCTTCATGCCCATCCCCCAGTTACCCTGTCCCCCCAACCACCTCCCATCCAGCAACCCTCAGTTTGTTTCCTACAATTAAGAGTCTCCCATGTTTTTTCTCCCTCTCTGATGACTTCCCATTCAGTTTTCCCTCCCTTCCCCTATGATCTTTTGTCCTGTTTCTTATATTCCACCTACGAGTGAAACTATATGATAATTGTCTTTCTCTGATTGATCCAGGCAGAGAGAAGAGAAAATGAAGAGGTTCAAGAATGGAGTGCAAGGCTCAGGATGGTGGCAGTTGGGATCACAATGCCTGAAGGTCATGAGAGAGGGATTAAGAGGTAAGCAGAAGGGTCCTTGGCTTGGGGGACTTTGTTGTCATGCTAACATCCTGTCCTTTTTTTGTGGGAAATTAATGGGTAGCCATTGAAAGGATTTATGCATAGGAATTATCAGATTTCCACTTTACAAAAAAAAGGGAGGGGTTTAAATTATAAAAATAATACCTAGAGTTTCTAAAAAATGCAATGAGTTATCGCTATGGAAAACAACTGACAGTATTTGTTGGAAATTTCGAGTTTTCACATAAAGATCAGGAACTGTAGAAAACATATCTATCATTACAAGACTGATAGTTTTTCAATGCTTTAAGACTATTCTGATGAGATCAGAGGGATATTAAATCAATATGATTTTTTAATATTACATTTTGAAATGTGTCAACATTTAGAAGATCTCCATAACTCAGTGAACCAATATTTTCCAAATGACCTATGTTGGATGTTACATAATCATGCATGGATGAAAAATTAATTCAAAGAGCAAGATCAACCAAATGAATTTTAATGTAACAGAGTATGAAAAGTTCACTGATACCATTTCAGATCTAACGCCCCAACAAAACTTTAAAAAACTATAATCTGTCCACTTTAGGTGTAGGATCAAAGAATACTCATGATTATCCAAAAAGGGAATTAATATACTCTGCCCATTTTCATCTACATATCTGTGTGAGGCCAGATTTTCATTATATACTTCAACACAAGCAATAAATGTATCACAACAGATGGAATACCAAATCAGATATGAGAATTTGCCATGAAAGAGATTTACAAAAAATATAAATGCCATTCTTCTCACTACGTATTTCCTATTTTGAAAATCAGTTGTTTTGCATACAATGTTATTTATCACCTGTAATGAGTTTGTTATTTCAAAATAAATTATTAAATACATGTACTTTTTTAAAACTTCATGGTTTTCATTTCAAATACACTATATATGGGTAGAAGTAACCCATATAAACAAGGGCTCTTTGGAGTCTTTCATAATTTTTAAGAGTGTAAAAGAGTCTTGAGATCAGAAAGTTGAGGATTGGCTGCACTAATTTATAGTACTTTACCTGTTCTCAATTCCAAACATTCCAGTAGTAGCGGAACTCTACCTTTAATAGACAGCCAGGGTAGGAAAGAAATCCCTGGGGGTTCACAGTGCTGGGGTTGATCATTAAAGGAAGCTTCCCTCTGCTAGGTGCCCTGGCAATGCACTATAGTAACTTTTTTGGGGTGGATGAGGGGTTTGCCTTCTGTTTGCAAAGCAGAGAAAGGCCATTGCAATTGTGAAGGTAAGCAAACTTCTCAGGCTGTTTTAGAAAGAGTGAATATGGAAGCTGAGGATCTGGAACCCTATTCCCCTAAAACTACGTATGCATGTATACCCCTGGGAAAGTCTTCATGGACACCCAGGAATAGGGTACCCCCAAAGATGCTGGTCTACACTCTCTGTTTGTAGAGGTAGGAAGGGCAAAACACAGAACCTTGGACACTGGACATCTGGTCAAGGCTCTGCAAGCATCCTGAATCACAGCCCTTTAAAGAAAATCTGCTCTTCATCTGGACACACACAGACCTTTCCACAGCCCTAGGACACAAAAGCCTGCTCACTAATTAACCTGGGACTCAATCTCAGTCCTGTGGTTGGTGATTCATCCAGCAGGGCCTGGCTCAGCTGTGTGGTTCTTAGGCTACATGATTTGGCAATCTGACAAACCTAGGGCTTACCCCCAGTTGTGGCTGAGCAAACCCAAGCAGGATCCTTACGTTCTCCTAGCCTCAGTTCCACAACTGCAAAGTGGGAATAACAATATCTACTTTGCATTTAAAGCACCCAGTGCACATTATTAAATTAATAGCTACCACTTTGGTGCTCACTCCTGCCAGGAACTGTAAAGTTCTCTTCATTTATACGATTTGGTCCTCGTGAAAAGACTGAAAAGTAATTATGGTATTTCTTCACTTCTAAGGAGAAATTTTGTCTACATTTAACACATCCAAAAATTGAATTTTGTCTTGCATTGGATGTGCATATGGTTTGTTCTACTTTGCATGAGAAGTTAACAAATCAATGGTGAATCTTATAATAAAAAATGTATGAACTTCTCCACTTTATGAATGTGAAACAGGTTAAAAACATGAAGTAACTTGTCCAAGACCACACATCTGGAATGTGGTGGGACAAAGATAAACACAAGACCGTCTGTCTCCAAAGCCTGGGGTTGCCTGGTCAATTCATTGCACCAGGCTGCCTGCCTCCCCTTGCCCCAGCCCCCCACTCTACCACACAGTCAGGACTTGGAAATGAACTGAGTCCCACCTAGGCCTTAAGTATCCTCTCTGCCCCTTTACTCACCAAATGTAGTTGCCAGAATATCCAGGTGAGGCATCTTTTGTTCAGTTAATCCAACACGTTGGAGGTAGAGTCACTCTGATGCCTGCAGCTTAGTTTAGGCCTCGAGGAACTGAAAAGGGACAGCTTACCAGTAACCCCCATCCAACCCCAGCATTGAGGATTCATTGACAATGCAACATCATGAAGCATGTTGTATATGGGGAACACCTCTCCGCGGAGCCCACCCTCCTCCCCACCACCATTAGGTTTCTTTCTTATAGTCCCCCCACCCAGCCCACCCCAATCTGCACTTTCCCCTGTGCATTGAATCTTATTTGGCTAACGATCCCTGCGCACAAAAGACAAGGCTTCTGCCATTGGCACACGAGCTATTGAATATCTCCAAAGACTTCTCTCCAGGAGTGTACAAGCAATCCTCTTTAGTCCTAAGTGGCAGAAGTACCACGTTTTGAGGTGCTTCTGTTGTCTTCATGGGGGTTCTCTTTTAGAAATGGTCTTAGAAGTATGTCAGAACCTATAGGTGAAACCAGTGCCTTGAAAAGATTACCCAAACCATCAATGCATTGACCGTAAAGACCTGCTCACGGGCTGAGAAAATCCCGATCTAAGCCCACTCATGCTGTATGGAAAAATGTGAGCTCAAGTAGAAGTTTGTAAAACAACCTTCAGAACTTAACTCCACCAGACTTCAGTTGCCCTGTCTTTAGTCTAAAAGATTGTAGAGGTTTATGGTAGAGATGAAATAAAAGCCTTTAGGAATCTAGAAGAGTCTCTTGTGTTTTCCTTATCACTCTGGATATGTTTCCAATTTGTATTTTAGGATAATTTGGGGGGGTCAGATTTATTGTAAAATTTCTCAGCATGTTGCTTTCCTTTTCCTCACAATGATTGTTAATGACTTTGAAGTTAAAATATTTACATAGTGGAATCAGTATTTCCTTTGTGGTTTCTTTTACTGCTTATAAGCTTGATTTTTGTCCACCCAATATTTTCTGCTCCTTTTTAACAGTTTGGTATTTTTTAACACTTAGGTCAAATGGATGGTGCAATGCTATGGTCTTTTTAGCTTCTTCTTCTCAAATAGTGGACTATTTTTCCCAGTTCTGCTTATTAAATAATCCCCAATTAAATATTCCCAACACTGCTGGTGAGAAAAATGTTAAATGAGCCAAGGGCAAAGTGCGACGAGAGTCAGGCTGGCTGGTTGCCCCCACCAGCAGGTCTGGACCACGGGTGGGGAGCGTCTAGCGTCAGGAATGCAGGTACCGCCCAGCCCTGCCAAGAGCGAGGCCACCAGCTCTGTTTACTCAGAGGTAAACCCCTCCTAAGCTCCCATTTGCCCACTCCCCACCCCTCCCTGGCCTCCCACCCTCTATGGCACAGTGCATCTGCTGCTTCTTGGAAGTGCCAGTAAAATTCTTGGAAGGAACTCCTGCAGATAGATTTTGGAGATTACCTGGGGATTTCCACAAACTGGGCCAGGGCTCCCATCTTCTCCTGATGGGCTGCTGATGACTTCTCTTAAAGACCCTGACCACCTGACCACCTGACCACCAGCTGGGAGGTATTAGCCCATGCCTCCCAGCCGACAGGCAAGCAGCTTAACGCTGCTAACTCACATTACTGGGGAAAGACCGAGGAGACGTGGAGGGGACATTCTATAGTGGTTAAGGCCGCAAACTTCAGAGTCCCAGATACCTGGATTAGAATCACTAAAATTTACCTGCCAAGATAAGGGCTAAGTTACCTTCACTGAGTCTCGAATTCCACATCCCTAAAACGGGCATGACAGTAACAGGCTGACCTCTTGGGGGCCCCCTAAGGATCACTGAACACGGTTAACTAAATCTTCAGCACTGCAGCAGTTAATATTTAGCATAATGACTTTATCTGCTACAGGGGAATTCCTACTGTGGTTTTCAAGGTACAAAGAGCCACAGCGTGTCTGGCTCGTATTTAGGACCTCAGTAGTGCATCAATTTCCTTCTGGCATTCACCTTCCTGCAGCTTTCTGCCCCTCTTCTCCCCCCACTTGCCTACCTGGTCACCCTTTCGTCAATATTTATTCTGTCATTATAGCCCTAACCCAAAGTCACACATGCATCTCAGAGCTTGCCCAGAAGGTCATGATACTTGCAGATTCCCGCCACCTGGTAGGCCCAGGGCTTTGAAGTTTGCATACAACCTCTTCCAGGACCCCCTTCTAATTTCCTTGGTAGATGACCTGAGAGATCGGCCCCAATCTAGGGGCAGAGACCCACATCTGTGAAGGCCGCTCCCCTGAGCCCCGCACCCAACACATCACGAGCGCTCCACCGTGGGCTCTGCAGTTGAGAGGCTGGCCTGATGTGTGGGTCAGGCCCAGCCCTCGGTGGGTGTTTGTGCTCCGAGTGCCAGGCGAGGCCCTTGACCAAAATGCTCTGTCCACCATGCCAGTTGCAGAGAACCTCGGAAGTCATTTCAAAATGGAGGTGCCACCAATGTTTATAGCAGCAATGTCCACAATAGCCAAACTGTGGAAAGAGCCACGATGTCCATCGACAGATGAATGGATAAAGAAGATGTGGTATATATATACAATGGAATATTATGCAGCCATCAAAAGGAATGAGATCTTGCCATTTGCAACGATGTGGATGGAACTGGAGGGTGTTATGCTGAGTGAAATAAGTCAGTCAGGGAAAGACATGTATCATATGATCTCACTGATATGAGGAATTCTTAGTCGCAGGAAACAAACTGAGTATTGTTGGAGTGGGGGTGGGGTGGGAGGGATGGGGTGACTGGGTGATAGACACTGGGGAGGGTATGTGCTCTGGTAAGCGCTGTGAATTGTGCAAGACTGTTGAATCTCAGATCTGTACCTCTGAAACAAATAATGCAATATATGTTAAGAAAAAAAGAAGAAGAAGAAGAAGGTAGCAGGAGGGGAAGAATGAAGCGGGGGAAATAGGAGGGGTAGACGAACCATGAGAGACGATGGACTCTGAAAAACAAACAGGGTTCTAGAGGGGAGGGGGGTGGGAGGATGGGTTAGCCTGGTGGTGGGTATTGAGGAGGGCACGTACTGCATGGAGCACTGGGTGTTATGCACAAACAATGAATCATGGAACACTTCATCTAGAACTAATGATGTAATGTATGGGGATTAACATAAGAATAAAAATAAATAAATAAATAAATAAATAAAAGGACCTTAAGGGTCTGCATTGCTGCTGAAGAAAGCCAAAAAAAAAAAAAAAGGAGGTGCCAAACCGCTGACTCCTGGTCTCTTGGCAGCTAAGATGGGAGAAAGCGTCAGCGAGGCAGAAAGACTAACTTGGGAGCAAGGTCTGTTTCTGGCGTGTAACAGCGGGGGCCACGGGTCTTCTCATTCAGCCCCCAGCCCTGCCTGCATTAGAGGGTCTCATCTATAGAGATGAAGGTACTCAAGTCAAACACCTCGCTTCAGGCATGGCAGAGTGGCCCGAGAAGTTCGACTGAGTTTTTTTTCCCTGTAGAAACGACAGGGGCGACAATGGGGTGGGGGGAAGGGCAGGGACGTGAAAGGACCCCAGAACCTAACACCAAAGGCCTTCCTGTGACTCTGCCCGGGGCCATCACGTGTGACCATGCTTGTGTGAGCACGCTTCTGCTGAAGGGGCTCAGGATCAAGGGCGCACACACGGGCCGGTCTGTGCGCGGGGAAGGGACGTCCGTATCGTACGGATCAACCGGCAATCCGTACCCGCGCGTCCCGTTTAAAGGATGAGGATGGGTGATAGGTCGGTCAAGAGCCCAGTGGTAGACACTTGGTGCACTGACCACAAGGGTCAACTAAACGCTTTCCTCTGCCCACAAGCCCCCCCGCCACCGCCCCCCCAGAAAAGGATCAGAGGTGCACTTCATCAGTGTATTTCAACCAGGTATTTTATTGTTCTGGCGACTGCAAAATATACAAATTTCTGAAAAGCATCCCATTTGAAAAGCTGGCACACCCTCATCCCAGGTCATTAATTCTGACAATACACAGAACACAGAGAAAGTCGTAAGTCACACGTAAAAGGCCCCCAAACCAACCAACGAACAACTAAACCCGATCTATACAGCATTCTATTTTCAGGCTCCCTTATACATATTAAATAAATAAATAGCACATCTGCTATCAAAATAATAAAAAAATAAATTTCAAGTATTACAAACGAAAACATCATTGGTGTGGTTGTTTCTCTTCTCCCCGCGAATGACGAGCTTCGCCCGTGGTTTCAGGACAGAGTAAGGACAGGGGGTAAGCCCACCCAAAAACAACTATGCCGAGTTAACAAAATTGGTCCCAGATATTTTGGGGGGAGTAAGGGGGGAGAGGTGATAGAGTATCAGTAGCCCTATGACCACAGCTCAAACACACGCTCCGTCCAGCGCCTCGAGTCAGATCCCGGCTTTCAGTCGGGAAGCATTCTGACCTCTCTGGGGTCTCTCTCCTCTTCCGTGTTTATGTCCTCTCGCCCCATCTGGGCCCTCACAAATGAGTGTTCAGGATGTTCACTTCCGTAGGTACTGACCTCAGCAGTTGGCGGCCGGGGGAGGGCACCACACACAGCCCCAGGTGGATCGGTAGGAAGGGTCAAAACTCAAGAGTCGGCTCTGACAGCCAGCATGACAAGGAGGCCAGAAAGAGGGCCTTGTCCAGAAAGAGGGACTTAAGAAAGCTGTTCTCAAGAGCAGAGCCGCAGGCCCCTCTGTCTAAAAATACGACCAACCTACAAGCACACGCTTGTGCGCACACACTTGCCGTCTGACGAGACTCAAGATGGCAGGAAAGGGAAAATAACCCATCTTCGGTCACACAGGAACAAAGAAACACAGACATCGTTTTGGGCAAAGTGCCCAACTGGGGAAGAATGGGGGAGGACCTGAATGTTTCAGTGTGAAACCCACAAACTTGATTGTATGGTATCGGAAGTATGTCCCAATGTCCCACTGAACCCCAACCAGAAAAACACGTGTTGTCCAGTCCCCGCTCTGGATGTCCGAGTCCCCCACCCCCACACCCCGACCCCACTCCCGGTACATGTCTCGTCAGCTTAGAGGGGCGAGACTGTCAGACTCGAAAGCAGAGGGCAAGCAAGGGAAGTGACCTTTGGCACCAGCTTTTAGAGATTCTTCGAAGATTCCCCAAAGGGTCATTTGGGGAAATTCTACCACGGAGTCTCCAAATCATTTCTTCTGGGCCTCAAGACACCTGCTCAT